CTTGTCTCTACAACTGCATCTGAATATATATTTGAGTTTCTGGTATACTGTAAATCTATGAGGTTAAAAATATTGTAGTTTTGTCAGTTCTGCACTGTAACATACACTCGACCAATGGAGATTATAGATGTAAGAAAGTGGATGTTGAGTGGTCCTGTGTCTGTATTCCAATGGCACAAGTACCCACAAAGATAAATTAAGGTAGCATTCAAAGTTTGATATAGATACTGCAGACATCATATTGATACCATTCTTTGTATCACTGGAAGAATGTAGTTTTGACATGGTTTGACACTGGCCAAAAGCCAGGCACCCATGAAAGTTGGTCACTCACCCTCGCCTGCCACAGCTAGGCAGAGGAGAGAAAGAAATTAATAAAGGGTTTGTGAGTTGAGGTAAGGACTGGGAGAAAACACTTCAAGGGCAAAAAAGGCTCAGCTTAAGGATATGAAGTGAATTTATTACTAACAGAGTCAGGAGGATAATGAGAAGTAAATTAAGACCTTACAACACCATTTTGTTCCAATCCCTCCCTCCTTCCCACAGACTGTGCAGGGAGGCACTAATTGCATTTTTTCTAAATAGAAAATTCAAATTATTACTGTATATGCATACATAGATATATATATATATATAAGTAGCATCTGTAATAGTGATTTTTTGTGCTACTTTTGACTTCAGAAGCATTATTTCTTAGGTGGCAATAGTCTTGGCTCTGTTATTTTCACAAATATGTAAGAAAATGTATGTGCAGGTCTCTGTGTGTTAAGAGGGAAAGATTTCTACTTCAAAATGAATGGAAAAAGTTTGTTAGAAATTAACTTCAGGTTCCCATATTAAATGTCTGTTTAGGTTCTTGTGCATACATTTGGCTAGGTTTTGTGCTGTGTGTCTCATCTGATTATGTGTGAGCAGTCAAAGATACCACACTCTTGCAGACTGTATGCAAAGCAGCACTTTGCATGACATCTAAGTCATGAGTCTAGAGAAAGTTTTGGAAAATTCCTGTTGCAGATTTGGCTTCTCAAATGGGCAGATTGCTATTCAGAGCTTAAGGATGCCTAAATCAATTAGAAACCTTTTATTTGTTAAAGAGACTATCTATTAAGGATGTGTACACGGGTGGATTGGAATGATTGGAACATCAGGACTCTGGTCTTTCACAACAACAATTTCTTTCCCTTTGGGATACAGTTTTTTCCTTTATATGCATTCATGCCACAGTTACAGTGTCGAGATTTCCTTTAACTGCAATTTAACTGGGAGGGGGAACTTGTTCCTTCTTCCAGTCAAATGTCTAAGTTATGAGCATGGGATTCTGGTCAGAATAATGCTCTTTTGCTTTAGAAGGGTAACCAAGTGTATACTTGTCAAAAACAAGTCATTAACTTCTTTTTCTCTTGGAGCCACTGGGAACTTGTCCAGCTTCCTGGGAACGACTGGAAGGATTGTTGGTTTTTTTGTTAACTGGGAGAGGTTTCCCATCTTTTTTACCATATTCAGCTTGCCTGTTCTGGCCTGCTTTAGAAACTTGGACCCCATTTGCTAAAGGCATTTATAAGCTGCACAGTCCTTGTCAGGTCTTGATGTGATTTCTAAGGTGAATCATCTTTGCCCGTTGCTAATGTATGGATGGATTTCTTTCCTATTCAATTAGAATCAAAGAAATGGACATCAAGCCTTATAATTTGTTTCTAGTAAATCAAACATCTGGTAGGAGGGCCACTTTTCTCTTTTGTTAAAAAAAAGGTAAAAAAAAAAAAGCTTTTGGGTCTTGCAATTTAGTTACCCATCAAATTATCTTATTTTTCACTTAGACACTTTCTTAAATTATGGAGTGCTTTAGGAGCAGCGCTGCTAAGTAACAATGTGCAATTAATAACATTCATAACATTTTCCCAACACAGAGAGGACATCAACCTGTTCAATAGATCGAGTCCAGAGAAGGGTCACCAGGATGATTAGAGGGATGGAGCACCTCTCCTGTGAGGAAAGGCTGAGAGAATTGGGTTTGTTCAACCTGGAAAAGAGAAGGCTTTGGGGTAACTTAACTGCAGCCTTCCAGCACTTGAAGCAAGCCTATAAGAATGACAGAGAAAGACTTTTTGCAAGAGCAGGTAGTGACAGGATGAGAAGGAATGGCTTCAAACTCAAAAACAGAATGTTTAGATTAGATATTAGGAAGTAGTCTTTCCTGAGAGAGCGGTGAGGCTCTGGAACAGGTTTCCCAGAGAAGCTGTGGACTCTCCAGCCCTGGATGTGCTCAACACCAGTCTGGATGGGGCGACCTGGTCTAGTGAAAAGTGCTCCTGCCCACAGCAGCAGGGCTGGAACTACACGATCTTTAAGATTCTTTCTGACACAAGCCATTCTATGATTCTATGAACATTGCACATTGTAGATGATATTAAAAAGGTAGATTTGGTTTGCATAAGTGGAGCAGAGTTTCTGGAATTCAAATATTTATTGAAAATAGAGAATCTGTGTTCTAAACAAATGCATAGATGTACACTTCTTCCAAACTAATATGTCTGGACATCTTCCAGAGACATGTTCAGTCTTTGATAAAATTACTCTTAAGAAAAATGGGAAATTTTCAGTGGTTTGAGTTGGAGATAGTACTGCTTGTTAAGGGCAACACAATAAAAGAAATAATGTAAGTTGTTCTCAGGAAAGGAAGTTGCTGGCTCTACTCAGAATCTAAAATTAAATTCTGCTGCAGCACATAATCTTATTTTAGCCTCATAGGAAGCTGCGCTCATATTCTTTGGCCAAAATTTAACTCATATGCATTTTTCTTACTGAAGTGATTTGTAACCCATCTGTAAAAGACAATATTGTCTAAATGTGGCATTTCTGTTTTTTAAGTGATTGAAGAAAGCAGGAATTACAATCTTTATTGTATATTTTTCTGCAATAGACCTAAAATGCAAACAGTTCTGTGAGCCTATTTATGAGGCATGAAGTTACTTTTGTTTTGCTTAACCAAGTGGCTGAAATGTTGCCACCAGTATGTCTGGAATGTTATTTACTTGGTCTATTTCTGCAGCTTTTCTTTGTACCACTGTACACTGTGTACGCTGTACACAGTTGTGCCACAACTAGGGGTCATTTACTTAAAACTGACCAAAGTAATACCCTCAAAATTGCCATTATTATTTTCATCAGGGGCTTTATAATAAAAGATTTATCATATTCTGCATCTTCTGTGCTCACACTTTCCCCCATCTCTCTCTCCCTTCATTCTCTTAAACAGAATTGCTTTTGGCAGATTTGGAGAGCTGCTGTTTTCACTTGCATTTTTTGTGTTACTTGATTCCTTGATTTAGTACTTTAACTTCTTACACTGTGTCTTACAATGCTGTCTGATTGAAATGTATTAACTTTCTTGGCTGGGTAACTAATTTTTTTTTATAAGGTGAGTATGTTTTTCTATCTCCATGTGTATCATATTTTGTGGTCCCTAGACATCCAACTGGTTGCAAGAAAACTGTGGGTGTTTTAACATTTCCAACGGAAGGGTAGGATGGGTGGGGAAGCGTTTTGGAATTATGACAAATAATATCTGACTCTTGGAAATGTCTGAAGGCCATAGACTTCCCTCCCATGCTTGGAAGGCTAGGCTTAAAGACCACGTATGCTTGTGTTTTAACATTTCCTTTATAACTGAGAGGAAAAGTGAGAGAAGAGTTGAAATACAGATCCTGGATATCACAGGCTAATGTAGGAACATTTTGTGGGTGGTGGTCACAGTTTGCGTCCTTGCTACTCCCATCTGTGACATGGTGCCCCATTAACCCCTTGGATATTAGTCAGAGGGCTTAATTCTGCTATTTTTATTTCCTAGATGTACTTAGTTTCAGAAGTTGTATCAACTTTGAGATGTTAAGTTCTGTAATGTGTGTTAGCATAGCAAAAATTGCCTTACAGTAGCATACGAGTTGGGAACTGCAGCAACTTGCAGTTCAGGGTATTTTCAGTAGCAGAGTAACAATTCATAACAGGTTTCCCCTGCAATTTCTTCTTCTTGTTTAAGTGCAAAGCAGAGTAGATACAGACTGGGTTGTTCCCCGGCTGTTGTGAAAAGCAGATATCTAGAGCTTCTTACTTCTGTGGTTGTAGTAAAATGTGTTCTCCTATCCCTGCATTTGCAAAAATGATCAACTTTTATCACAAGTTGGTATCTTCTTAGCTTGTTTGATGTTTTGACAAACACATATGCTTTACCATGTATGACAGCTTTTACATTTGGATACTGATTTGTTTTCTTTATTAAATGTTTCTCCTTTATTTCCATCTTTGATCATTTAGCTGACAAATACTTGTTTTGAATATTAACACTGCTCATGTTATCCTGGCTTATATATAAATGTTTCTACTGAAATAAATCAGTCTTGTAACATGAAAAATATTAAACTTTGGTTGAAGTTACTTCTTACAATTAATAGCTGTTTGATGGTTGAATACCTTACAGCTGTAGGGTGGAATTTTAGTTTGATTTTCTACCAACCAACAATAAAGTACGACTTAATTCCTACAAATTCCTGAGATATAAACTGTTAGTCATGACCTAGCATGCATACACTAATAAGAAGCTAAAAGGCCAATAAAGCCAACCTGAAAGAAAGATGGAGAGAGACTATTTACGGAGCATGTAGTGACAGGACAAGGTGGAATGGCTTCAAACTGAAAGAGAGTAGGTTTAGGTTACATATTAGGAGAAAGTTCCTCCTTCTGACGATGGTGAGGCACTAGCACAGGTTTCCCGGGAAAGCTATGGATGCCCCATCCCTGGAGGTGTTCAAGGCTAGTTTGGATGTGTCTCTGAGCAACTGAGACCAATGAAAGGTGTCCCTGTCCACAGCAGGAAAGCTGAAACCAGGGGATCTTCAAGATCCCATCCAATTCAGGCCATTCTTCAGTTCTGTTATTATTATGTCCATGCAATACACGTTGTAACAGGTCAGTAACAGATTCTGTCACTCATTTCTCTTGTGCAGCCCACACATCATCTTTCTGTCACAGAGCGTACTGCCAGGAGGAAGCCATCTCTGTGGAACTCGTGTGTGCCACGAAATTGCTCATGCTTGGTTTGGACTAGCCATTGGTGCTCGTGATTGGACAGAAGAATGGATAAGTGAAGGGTTTGCCACTTTTTTAGAAGATATATTTTGGGCTAGAGCACAACAGGTAAGGTGATGACACATTGCTTCAAAATCAATGTGGAAATCAAAATCATATGTGAATTAGATGTAAATTAAACCTCAAAACACAAACTGTGCTATGAAGTAACATCTTTTAAAATGGTATTGGAATTCACATGCTTACTTGATTAAAAAAAAAAGTGATCCACAATGAATACAAAACTTTACAGAGGTAGGGCTCAGTACAAATGTGAATACCAACATCTGTTTGTCAATGATTACCTTCCCAAAAATGTTATACTCAATCATTAAAATTCAATTATCAAACAATTGCTGTGAATTCTTTCCACTTCTGTTGTATACCTGAAACGGGAAGAATCAACAGTCTTACTGCATATTGTAATATTCCAGGTGTCTAATTAAAATTGTTTGGTTTCGTCCAATAGATGACCAAGAAGTGTACCTCAAAGCAAAATACAAGATGATTCTAAATGGGGCACATTGGCACTTACACTTTTTTTTCCTGTTCTACTGCCCAACAAGTTACTGTCCTGTCAGAGACTTAGAAATCACTGCCTCCCTTAAGGTGAAAATTTCATAAGTTGCATGCCAGCTAGTAAAGTGCTTTTCTGATGCAACTCTTCCTTTTGTAGTACCTCTGCTACTTCAAGCATTTAATGTGTCAGTCCTTTCTACCTGTCCCTTCATCAGGTTCCACCCCTTTATTCTGCAGATTTCCACCTGAGCAAAAGCATGGTAGAACTGGGAACTGATGTAATAAACTCCTCTGAACCTCCATTTTATTAAGTATCTGGCATATTTATAGCACCAAACTAAACAGAATACCTTGTTATGTACCATATTTCTGGGAGGAAAAAAGAGAGAAAGAGTGTCTAAACACTTGGGTTTTCCCTTTTGGTTCTAAAACTAATTTGTGCCTTCACATTGAGAATAACTACACTGCTGTGAGCTGTTCACATTAGTTCTTTGCTTTTGTTAGTCACTTGAAAGCATTTTGATTGTAGTAGACATCTTCCTTGGAGCTGAGTGTAAAGGAAAAAATAAAATAGTGTAATTAGTTCCCTTGTTATCATGTAAGGCATATCGTTTGAACATTATTGAGTAGTTTTGATGCAATGCAATCACAGAATTTAAGGATTGTGAGTGTATTCCATAGTGCCTGAGAATAATTTCAGTTGTGATTGAACATAATGCAGGGTAGTATTAGCTGCTTTTGCTTTCCCCATTTTCCCATCTATTCTTATAATAGAGAAACATAAACTATGATTATGTTCAAAACAATTGTTTGTCAGCTGGCAACCTGGCATTTATTTCATAAGTAGGAATCTCTGTTAATGGTATGTAAATTAGGAGAAACACAACAAGGAGGTTTCAGGAGTATGGCAGAAGTAGTAGGAAAGAGGAGTGAAGCCAGGACACAGTGTAGCTCTTTGCTCTCAATTTGGGAAGGGTAAGGATGCAACCAAAAGCTCTATGCCAGGTATCTCTACTGTAAATTCAGATTGTTTCTTGCCATTTACTAAAAGGAAAAAAACATGCCCATGTCTCTTCTCAGTCAGAACTATTTAACTGACTATTGATTTGATGTGCACAGTGAGGCTTTTGTTTTTCTTAGTGCTGCTATTATCTCTCATAGCAGCAACTGTTATTTTTTTATCATGGATATTGATACCCTTTCCTGCCTCTTCTGCTCATTAAAGAGAAACAAACCAAGTTTCTTGTTCTGCAAATTATTATTGTCTGTTGGGAAACAGCAATCAGTGATCTGTGTTTTTTGTTTACTAAGCAGCTGCCACATGATGAAATAAAAGAGCAACAGGAATTGAAAGCTTTACTTCGCTGGCGCAGACTCAGAGATGAGGTGCAAAACTCTGAAGAAGAGCTGCAAGTTTTAAGGTAACAATATGATTACACCGTCATTGCTGTTGTATTTTCGCTCTCTCCACCTTTTCTCCCTTCAAAAGATGTACTTCCAAATTGTCTGATTATATCCACTGCATTTCCTTATTTCCTTCTAATAAAAAAAGAAAATGCAAATTAAACTGACTGGGTTTTACATCTTGACTATGATACAATTTGTTTTCCTTTTGTTATAGAAAGCTTTTAGAAAACCATGGGATTATCTTGATATGAAATGTCTCTGAGCAGTTTACAAGAGCTTCTATTTAGGGAAGAAAGAAAAGACCATTTCCTGAAAAGTTCACTGTTGGAAGTCATAACAGAGTCATTTTCTGTAGCTGAAGACAAGTACATGCATTAGTATGGTATTTAACTGCCAAGCTGAATGAAGCTTTAAAAAACAAGGAAAAAGTATAACATATAAACTTTATAAACCTACTTTCTAATTAGAAATTTCTAATAGTTATATTTAAAATAGATTTTTAGTCTTTAGGTATCAGATGCTAAACTCAAGGCTCCTTTATAGATAGCTAAAGACAGTCTTCCTTTGCCAGTGATTAATATTCTATTCTGATTGGTGTGTTAGGAATTTTTAGTCTTTGATCTTGAGTGTCTAATTCTACATCCACGGAGCTTCTACAGCTTGTCTTCTCACCATCTTCAACCAAAAATAATGACTTTACTAATCCTAGTTCAAATTAGCCATGATTTCTGACCAAATCATGGAAGTGCAGGGACAGATTTCAAACAATTATGTAGTCTATTCTCCTGCTCTGAAATAAAGACAGTATACACAGATCATCCTAAGCGGGCTCTTACTAACATGTTCTATTGACTTGCACATTTATTCGACTTAATAATAAGCATTTTTCTTACCTTTGGGTAGTATTATTCCTAATGCTAATACAGAAGAGTGAAAAGTTAATTTCTCATTTGAAAAATGTGTCTCCAATAAACACTTCAGGCCAGGCACGGGATACCACTTCATGATTCTGGCCATTTCTTCTTCTCTGATATCTCTAGCTCCTTGTGATTGCATTTAAGGACTTCTTACTGATTTCACTGAGATATAAATATTTTCTACTATTTTTGTGGCATGGACGTGAATAAATTATCTTTTTGCATATTTACTGGGGTTTTTTTCCTTTTCTTCATCCTTCTGAAAATATGTTCTCATGCTTTCCAAAACTGGCATGTAAGAGAGAAAATCTCAGTCCTGGCCCTTGGTCTGGGTTGTGAGTCTGTACTGAGGCTTGGGCTGGTTCTAACTTGTGTTTTTATACGGAATATTAAACATAAATTATAAGTATTTGCTTCTTCTTGCCAATCATTTCAGGAAGGAAAAAATCAACCAACTCACTCTTCCCAAGCATAAGCTCATTCTTCCACTACTTTTTGGTTCCCTCATGACCTTATGTTCATTTGTGCTTTCTCCTGACAACTGGAAAAATCTGCCCCAAACTTACCAGCTGATCCTATCAATTTTTGATCCATCAAATGAATATCTTTTTAGACTAGGTGAAAGCCACTTAGCAAACTGATGATCAGCCTGATGTTTCTTCTTATTATGGGTACTTGGTAATATGTTATAGTAAGGAGCATGTCATAAGCTACCTGTAAAAAAAGAGGTCAAGTAAGAAAGAAATTGGATAAATATCTTTTCAACAGGCAGCAGCTCTGAAAGGCAGCACAAGCAAATCTTAACATTTAAGAAGGAATTTGTGGCACAGCCATGCTCATACAGGTTGAGACTTCCAACAGATGTGTGCCTGTTTTCTCACAGAATTTGAAAGAAACCTGCAGGGATAAAAGCACCTATGAAAAAGATCTTGGCATATGTTTTGCTGGTGATCACGAACACCAGCACTCTCATCCAGCACTCTCATCTATTCTGTTAGGAAAGCAAAGAAGAGCATTCTGTTCTGCAGAGTAAAGCTGGTGTTGACATTTGTTTCATCTCCTGGGCCTTATGGCTGAACGGCATCTTGTGGTTATTCATTAAGTCAAGCCAATGTTGATATCTAGCTCTAAATTAGTCTCTGAGTTCTCTCCACTTGTGTCAGGTCCATTCTGTCCCAAAGAGATACCTCTGACTGCTCTGTAGGTGTTTGAAGGGTTTTATTCTATCTGATAGGAAATGTGGTTTCAGATGATCTTTCACAGTCTCCGTGTAAGTTTTCATGACCACCTGGCACATCAGAGCATTTAATTACCAAGGATATCCCAGAGCATTGTACTTTTACTAGGGCAATGTACTCATCTTCCCACCAAACGGAAAGCAGCATCTTCTACCTCCTTCAGAAATTTTCCAGTATCTAAAATGTGCCAGATAGCATCTTGAATATTTTGAGACAGTGTGCCTTTAGCATTATGGTAGACTTTAGCTACCAGGTTGGATGCAGCTTTTGTAGGTCAGTGTAACAAATTTTCAATCTTGGTACTTTCAATGTCTGGTAAATACAATAAGCATTGCTTTAAAATATTGTTCTGAAGTCCTGATAGCAGAGAACAGGGTTACATTCTAAATAGTTACACTCCTTTACACACATTTTCAAGAATATATATACAGCCTTTGCAGAGGAATGTGTATATGTTTTCTGTATGGAATTCTTCACTACCATTATCCAGATGCAATACTTCTTTCTGGTCAGTCCTAGGATTTACACAGGCACAGAGTCAGAGGAGGAAGGAAGTATGGTTGCCTAATTTAGAATAATTGTGATTATGAAAAGATTTCAATTTAGTGTGGATTCTATAGCCTGTGCTCAAACTCCATTTTTAAAGTCAATAGACAGGGCTATTTATTAAGGGAAATGAAGCAGTTTTTATGATTTATGTATGCAGAGAATGATGAAAAGTCATGTATGGAATGTCAGCAGGTCTTCTTTCCAGGAGACAGATCCAGAAGAGAAATAGCTGGATTTTGCTTTCCTACAGTGGGTTTGCAACATTTACACAGCCTAAAAGAACTGGAGTTGCCATAGAATAAGAAAACAATTATTGGTACTGTTCTTTCAATGTTGAGGGAAGATCTTACCGGAAAGATATTTATGAATGATAACATGGAAGAGGACTGTGTCAGAAACACAATGTAAAATTCAATCTGTTTTTTTCTCACTTTTATTTCAGTTACATTTTATGAAAATTTTGTGTATAGTGGATTTCATGTGCACAGGCATGAAATAATGTCTGTCATAATAATGTCTAAAAAATACCCTGATTTAGTACTCTGGACAAAGCTTTAATAAGAAACTCTGACACAGATATAAAAAAGGAAGAACCCCTCCCTCAAATGAGACACAGATATGGAAAAAAATTTGATCGCGAAGTTCTTGAAATCATCCGGCATGAGTGGTGTGGTTTGAAGGATCTTGCCTTGCTGTGGCCCATATTTCCCCTATTCTGCAGAAATGAAAGGAAAGACATTTGGTTTTGAAGACTGGCCATTTCAAAATCTACATTTAGAATTGGAGAGGTTGTTTTAGTCACAGCATTAGGCTCCTAAGACAGGCAACTGTTCTCAGACTACTGTTAGTTGGGATGTTTTCTGAATGGAAGAAAAACATCTAGATGTTCTTCAGTACTATGCCTGTGAAGGCACTTCTTACAAATGAAGAAAAAATGCTTGTACAGTTTCTCTTTAGTTTCAGTCTGTGCTCTTTAGAGCCTAAAAGTCCTCCATACTTAACTGTTGTAGATTTGTGGCATACCAGATAGTGTATTGCATTTTAAATCAGGCAGTAAGTAGTATTTTTTTTCTAGACATTATTGTCTGTAAACCTCAAACCTGTGTGCAAAATACTTCCTCTTTTAATATTTGAACTACATTTCTTCCAACCCAAATGGAAAAATGAAAATCAGAACACTTTCTGCAGCAGTCTATTGCATGCAAACGAAAGAGGTTATTCTTGCAAGGATAGTTATGTAAGCTGTTATGGCAAAGTTCAGGTAAAAAAAAAAGAGAAAGCTCTAGTTGAATGTAGTGACTTCACTGTCTTCCCCTGCACTTCCCCTTCCCTTAAAATGTTGGTTTTGTTTATTTTTTTTCTCTTTGTTCATAAGGTGTCTGCACTGGAAAATGACATGCAACCTGGTGTCATGCTGGCTGTAAAAAGACTACACCAACCTACTGATGAATTTTATTTAGAAGAAAATTGACTTGTTAGACTGTCTAAGTTAATTTATATACTTATGGTGAAGAAAAAGACTAAACTAGTCACAGGTGTTTAAAGTTACTATGCTACACAATGCTTTCAACTATCAGAACCTGTAATGTATGACTTATTTCTTTACTTACTTATCCAAAACTTAATTAGTATGTTTCCATTTTAGGCCCAAAAAGGAGAACACAGGAGAAGTGAGTGAGTCTGGAGCCTCTGTTGTCAAATATGGTCTTAAAGCAGAAAAAATCTTCATGCAGGTTCACTATTTGAAAGTGAGTTTTGTCAGCTGATTTTTACTGAGATTGCTTTATGAATATAATAAAGACTTCAGTGTTCTAGATATCAGAAAATTCATAGCTTCTGCCTTAATTTTTTGCAGGGTTATTTTCTTTTACGATCTCTGGCAAGGAAAATAGGAGAGGTCTCATACCTTGCATCTTTACGGAAATTTGTCATTAAGTTCCATGGGCAGCTTGTCCTTTCTCAGGTATTGTGCTTCTTCCTCACCTTTTAGAAAAACAAACAACCCAAATGTTTGGATTGACTGCCTAAATCTGGTGGCGATGTAAGGGGAGAGGCAATTGTAATTGGCAATATAGGTAAAATTCCCACCTGGTAGAAGGCAGAACATTTTTTTAACAGTGACACTTGAATCACATCCTGTTAGTATCCAATAATATAAACAATGAGGGTTATTTTTTTTAACATTATACTTCAAAAGGCTAATGTTAATAGGTACTGATGTTCTCAAAGAAAGGGTCATTTACCATAGTGGAATTACTGCCTGTGGTCTTTTAGCTTGTGGTTTTTGGTTGTGCTCAGTCAAGTCTTTTCCCTGATTCCTCTCTGTTTCTGAAAGAGAAGTAATTATACTTCTGAATATATTTATTTAATTTATTTTCTTTCTCTGTGCATGCTGTTTCATTCAATGCTTCTAATTTCACCATATTTCTTATAAGGACAAAGCCGAGTAGGGTTATAAGTAGACCTGTTAGATCTTTCTGTAAAAGTCATGTAACTGCTGGCTCTAGATTTGTTTTGATTTAGAAAATTACGTAGCTCTCTGAGCCCAAAGTACTAGGAATCCTGTCACTAATGATGAATCCAGCTTACACAAACAGCAGTGCAGCTTCATTAATGCTGTGAAAACAACTATTCATGGGGGTGTCTGTGAACCAGGTCACTGAACTCATTGTGGTAAAAAACACGCCTGGAAGAAAACCCCCAACACAACAAATATTTAGCATTGCTAGAAGAGCAGTGTGATGACAGTGAGGCAAGGGAAGAGAAGAGAGAAGGGCTATGAGAGACTTTCTGAAACCACCTTCTTTGCTGAAGGTTGAAAGGTCTTATGCTTGAAATTTTTGAGGATATTCAGGACAGTGATAAATGTTTCCTTGAAACATTGAGTAAGGGCCTCTGATTTTGTGTAACTGAAGTCTAACACTTGCTGTTTCTTCCAGCCACAGTGTTTTTTGCTTGCATGCATTCTGTTTTGAATCTTACTCTTATGCGGTGAGATGTATGCCCAGGTATTTTACAAATAGCTTATGGACTTGTGATTTCTTTTGTATGTGAAGTCACCCAGAACTTAGGAGCAGTAGCTCTTAACTCAGCATTTCTGCCCTGTGGAGGAATGTTTGGGGTTTTAAGGGAGTTAACACTGCTGCAGCTGTTTCCTGTGCCATGTTATTGAGACTGTAAGCAGCTACATTTGGCATAGTGTGGAAAATGCCAATGACTATATAAGCCTTGTCTATATTAGGGTGTCCCAAATCATAAAAATTACCCCTCACTATTACACAGCTGGAAGAATTTTGAAAATTACAGAAGTCTTATGACTTCTGCTAGCAACAAGAAGAAGCCCAGTGTTTTAAGCTGGTGGTAAGAAAGGTGCTCAGATTTTGGTGAGAACGTGTTAGCTTGTTGCTCCTGGTTGATGTGGGGTGAATTGTCAGTAGACTGAATGCTGCAAAATGTTCAGCAGACTGTGGTACCTAGCTACCACATACACTAGAGACTTTTCCCTTTGTCTAGCTATGAAGTGTCAATTCGTAGCTTACCTACTCTGGTCTCCTAAGATTAAACACTACACCCAGAAACATCCACTTTGGTTATTGGATAAAAAAAACTGCTCGATGTTTTGTTACTGAATTATTGGAGCAAAAGTTAAACTTTTGCTTCTTCAGCTACTTTTTTATTTGGATACGTGTAATATGTCCATAACTATGTGCTTAATATGTAAAGAAAAAGAAGGGTACTTTTCTTCATTTAGAAATACAATATGGTGGAGAAAGAGTGTGGTACATTAGGACTTCTATTCGCTTCTGTGCTTTTACCTTGTCTATCAGCCTAAATCCAGCTCCTAGTGAAATTATTGGGAAAAGCACCTTAACGTAATACTGGTTTTTGGTCACTGCAAAATGCAAATATGATAGCCTATATCCAATAAAAATGCATTTTCTGTCTTTGTAAGAAATCTTTAGCATTGTGGTTTTTGTTGGGGTCTGGTGTAGGTAGGAGTTGTAAATGCAGAAGCAATGAAGTCAAGTTAGTACAAAGTTTCTTATTCAAGATCCTTCTTGAACAAACATGCTGTCAGTGATTAAATGAATAAAAGATTAAAAATAAATAGAGGTGCAGATGGCAAGTTTAAATATTATAGTGCTATACTTTCACCTTGTCCAGAATAACTGTAAAAGTTCCCAGGTTTAGGAATTCTGGGAATGAGGGAAAGTAAAACAGTGAAAAATTGCCCATGTTATGAATACTAGTCTTGTTTTAAGCGGTGTTTGTAGTAATTTTCCCAGATGGGAGCTGCAGGTGCAAGGAAATTACTTCAGATGTTGAACATTAATCAGTTTGCCTTTTTCCTTCATTTTGGTTGCACACTTAGTAGATTTTTAATAGTAGCTTTATTTTAGTTGAGTTAGCAACAGATGAGTAACGCAAATCTGGAATCTTTGAGAAGGATTAAAAAAATATTCAATTTTTTTTTTATGAGATAATTCACTTACTAATTGCTTTGAGTGAACTTTTAAAATAATGACTGGAGTGTTTTGACTACAAATAGAAAGAAAGAAGTGCAAGTTGCTGGTATGCCTAACAAAGTTAAAGCTGTTGTTGGATTTCATCTTGAAATAAAAACACCTTGGAAACTAAATTGTTTGTGGAGTTTGATTTTTGTGTGGTTCTGTCTGTTATAATGGGCAATAAACTGACTTCTGACTAAACCTAGACAGAGGTTGCATTACCTGAGGCTTACACTGTTAAGCTATCTGGCTGATGATTGTGGCCTGATAATAAAACATATAGTGGGGGGAGTCTTGCTTGCTCTAGACAGGAAGTTGTCTCTTTGGAGGTGCAGTCTGGGATTGTCAACAAAAGCCAGAAGAATGTCTAGGGAAGGAATTCCAAGTAAACAGGAATCTAGAAGGGTGCTCACTGTTTATTTTTCCCACCCAGAAGGGACAAATTAAAATTTGCCACTTAATTATGTCATTTACAAACTGCATAATTTTTTTAGGAATAGTTTGAGTGGATAATTCCTTCAAGGAACTATTCCTTCAAGGATGTACATGTAGTCAAAATTTTTTTGTTGCCAAGTGAATGTCCATTTGGACTATCACTTTCAGTCATGACATCTTCACTGTTTTTATTCACCCCATTATATTCCAGTCAGAGAATTTAAACAGAAGTATCTGTTGGTTGTAGAGTACTTGAAATGTTTGGATTTGAGGTTTTAATATGAAGACATAAGTTGTCTTTAAATATTGAGTATTCTTTTTTTGATATCAATATGTATAATCAGGGAGAGGTACTTGCCTGATGCTCCAAACCAGTTCAAGGGTAGAAACTTGCTGGCCATTGCTCAAGACAAAAGTTGGAGTAGTAATAAAACATCTTTTGGTATAAACCAAAAGGTCTTCTAACACCACATATATCTAGTTAATGCTTTAACTAGTCTTCATTTCCAGTTACTTCTTTCAACCTACTTTTCAGATTTTGGGTCCTGGCTCTTCTTTCTTTTAACTCAGACACAGTTCATCCATTAACAGAGCAAAGAAAATTTCTCCTTAATGTCAAATTCATGTCTGTACCCAGATCTGATCTGCCCAGCAGAAGCCCAGAGTTAAACTGAGGGCCTAGCAGATCCTTAATAAATGTGTTGAATTAATTTTTTAAATGTTTTTTTCAGCTTGGCCAAATGTCAATTGAATTCCACAAACTGCAGAATAACAGTTTCTTTATATAGAGAAAAATTGTTTTCTAGCCTCAGGGTCTCTAGCCAGGTAAGAACAGGAATATATAAGAAAGTGATATTATTTAATCAGTTTGTTAACATTGCAGCACAGTGGTAGCATGTAGTTTATACCTCCTGTGTTCTTTATACCTTCACTGAATTACTTGCAACAAAACCAAAAAAACCCCAAACTATGATTTGCTTTATAGTTTGATCCAAAATTTATTTATGATTACCATAGTCATCCACAAGTGTTTCCTTCAAAATGTAAAATAACTAAAGCATCTTAAAGAAGTGGCATCAAATCTTAAAAACCCCCACATTAGCCTCTGACTTTTCTCCTGGACACTTCTGAACCATTTCATCTGTGGAGGAAGAAAAAGTAGCCTGAGAGTAAAACTCACTCCAGATGGTTAAAATGACAAAATTATAAACAGCTGAAAAGTCAGACCTATAATGAGATGCGTCATGCAGACTTTATAATAGGCAAATGTTAAAAGCCATGCTAATATGGTAAGTGGTAATTTGCTTTCCTACTCTGCTTTGGAGCGTTGAAATTTGAACAGTTTAAATAAGATATGATTGATTAATCCAAATTTTAATAAAGCCTGTAGAATGCCAGTGCCTTTTTCTTGACGTTTGGAAAACAAAGAAGATGCTAAATTTCATAGTATAGTATAACGATTATAAAACTATCTCCTATGTGATTGATGATGAAAAGTTGATGGAACGTAACCATGGAATCTAGCTGCATTAATGTATACACAGTGCAAATAGTGTTAAGAATAATCACTTCAGTTTTACTATTCACACACTTTTGAAATAGCTCTAACTATGATCTTTCTTATACCATATCCTTTATTTACATGTAAGCTTACTTTGTAACTCCAGCAAAACTTCCACAAGTGGAAGGAGACAGTATTTCTCTGTTTATATACAGAATAATGTAAGGTTTACATACAGAAAAACTACAAGTAGTTGTATGAAATAAAAGGATTTCACACAGCATCAGCATCATGTCTGCCATACACTGGCACAGTTAATAATGGCATTCTTACCACAGCAGCACTGAGCCCAGCACTATGTAGTTTACTTTTTGTTACAAGCCAGTTTTGCAGTCACTGCAATGTAGCCTGAGTCTCATTTATAATCTAAAGAAGGAAGGCTTAACTGTGTTACCGGTAGTTTCAGTTTGCAGTCTTTGTTTCCTAACAATGTCATACTCAGACAGAGAAACAGTATCGCTTGTTGAATGTTATGGCATTGTCCATAAAGAAAAGATTTCTGCCTTTTAGGAAACATTCTTCAAGACCTTAGAGAGCAACAATTTGCAGTTGTTGTACAGTATACAGTCAGTCTGTACTTGTATACAGAAATGAGGAACATTATTAGCCTATGAAACTTGTCTCCACAAAGATTAGTATTAATAAAGCAGATGCATTGGTTTTATGAAACAGCATATAAATTAATAATTTATATTAATAAATCCTATTTTTATGTGATTGTTCAAAGGAGTGTATTCTGTCAAAGTGATTGTCATTAAAATCAAGTTATGTAGAACATAGGGTGCCAGAGAACCTTTTATGATGTCAGGTGTAACTTTCTTACAAGAGCTTATCATACTGGCATAAGTGAGGATGATAGTACTGTTCTTCCATTGGCATTGCATTGTCTTTGTAAAACCATGAAAAAACTCTTGCTATCTTTTATTTGAAGACTTTACTCCTTAGTTAATGTGGTTGTCAGCAATATTGCAAATTTTGTCATAGAATGAGGAGTAGATTTGGTCTAATCAGGCATGTGCACTAAGGAAGAAAAAGCTTTTTGTAGTTATGTAATTAAAGACAACGTGATAACATAAGCACAGTGAAGAGAGTGTAAACACCCTTGAATTTGGTGTTTCTTAAGTTTTTTATGTAAATCTGCAGCCTTTAACAGTTTTAAATATCGTTTGTATGTGTGTTAAAAAGTAGGAACATAGAATTGTGTTAAAATAGTCAGCAGGCTTTTCAAGCCCATTTTCTTTCAGTGTTGACACTCCTTGCTTGAGAGGGTTGGAAAACTGACAATATAGTATATATTGTATAAATAACAATATGCATTATGTTGTCATTATATCACCATAGTGGATATATAAACTTTTTCTTATCATTCTGTTATCTGTGGTCTTAAATCTCTCACTAGCAGTGAAGACACAGGGTTATGGCTTCATAAACATACTAACTGTGCTCCTCTGTTCATTTTTCAGGATTTTCTTAGCATGCTGTTGGAAGACATTCCTAAACAAAAACAGTAAGTAAGACCTGGGCTAGAAAAGCCAAAGAAATATGTACAAACAAGATTTTAATATGTGCTAGCCAGAAATAGTGCTAGCCTGAAGATTCCTATTACATATATACACAAAAAATTATGAGACTAGTTGTAGTTATCCTATACCACGCTCTCCCCAGACTTGCATATCATGTCAGAGGTGATGTCGTGTGTTCACTATGCAATCTGAAGTGCCAGGCATAGCTGCCTGCTCAAACTAACCTGTGGTTCTCCTGCCAGCTGCTTTTGGCACGTGGTGCCCTAGAGCAAGGATGCCAGAACTTTGCTGAGAGTCTGGGATGTCAGAGAAGATGGATTTTTTCACCTAGTCTGGTACCATCTCCTCTCAGTCATAGATTGTGCTGCATGAGGAAAGATGGAAAATGTGAATTTAAATTGAGCATTAATTGCCTGACATGTCCTTCAAAATACTCCTATGTGTGACTGTGACTGATTGAAGATGATAGTAGTTAGCAGCACTTTGAGGCTTATATTTTGGGTTGTTCTGTGCTATTCTAGACTGTGCTACAAATAGAGAGTCTTTTGTAGAGGAGTTTTACATGCTACAGTTTTTAAAAATATTCTCTTGAAAAATACAGTGTTGAAGGCCAGGATTGGAAAAGTGTTCATAACTCTATGTGAGTGCTTTGGAGTGAAAAAAAAAGATTATATTCACAGAGGTTAAATGTATTGAGTTTTTTAGTGAAATACTTCTCTTCCTGATGGTTGAGGAACAGAGAAGCTAGTTAACATTGAGAAAATATGTTTTGTGGCATCTCAGGTTTAGTTTGGGTGCTTTCAGATTCTCCAGTGATGTAGTAGATAATACTCTCTCTATATGATTCAATATAGTTTCTAGCCCAAATATAATGAGGTGTATTATATGGAATAAATGTGAAAATTATTTTTATAAATGGTATGATTATACATTGGCATGTTAAAAAAACTTCAGTTTTCCTTCCTTTTATTTTTTACTTGCGTTTCTCTGAACTCTAAACCCAGTTCAAAATGTTGTTGCATAAGCATCCATTTTTCTGCCTAAAAACCGTACTCAAACTTTTAATGAGACTAATGGAAAAGAACTGTGGCTCCATTTGTGATGTATCACATTCCAGAATGTACGAAAGAAATTTCAAATATATGGTAATTCATTTTACAGTTATATATATAGCATATCTGAACTATTTATTGGCAAAATTACTTGACAGATATCAGCAGCAATGCAAAGAATCTTGATATACAGAAGGCTTTTATTTCTTATGTGCTGGGAGGTTGGTTTTTTTCATTCTTGAATACATTCTGTAGCTAGTACAGAAATACTCACCTGAGGTAAAAAAAAAGGGAGGAAACATAAAAATAAAGTATTTTTAGAGACCATCTGCTGATGACTGCTTTTTTGCGCAAAGTTTGATGTAGGAATGAAGTGCATTTCAATATTACAGCAAAAATATTGTGTGGCACATAAAACCTCTCAGGCTTGTGCAGTTCTACCAAGTAAAATTTAAACTGTTTAAACTTCATACTTCAAACTTGACAAATATTAGCACTCTAATACACTGTAGTTTGTGATGGAGGCTAGTCTCAATCATAAAACAAAATAGAAGTAAAGAGACATTTGCAGTAGGTAATGAAACCAAATCTTGCCCTCAGCTGTGGCAACAGTTCTATGTAGAACTTGGCTTATGAGAGACTTTTGTAATGAGAACAGGATGAACATTGGCAGAAAACTATCATGAAACAGTGTGGAAATTTTCTATAGTTATTACACTGTAGTAGTGTAACTTTAGCTTTCTACTATTGGATACAGAGATTTGATTTAAAAGATTCTCACCTCCAAGTACTTAATTCCTTTAGTTTTTATTCAAAGGAGATTTTTTTTACTACATTCACAGTGATGAGTAGCTCCAGGATCCAGATGTGACTTTTTATTGATTTTTCCTGCCTTCTGTACTTGGAGGAGGAGAGTTCTATGCCTATTTATAGGGCTACTTCACTTCCTGCTCTGACTCAATTATAATGGCATGTTAGCTGCAGGAATCCATACTGTGAGGCAGGGTTCTTCTGTTTCTGGACTGCAGCTGAATACTGACGTCAGATAAGCTGAGCAGTACCTTCTGGTCCTTTATAATTTCTTCACTTGCCTTTAGGACTGATTATTTATCTTAGTGAAGGACTAATGGAAAGAACAACAAACAAACATTGGTCATTATCTTTCTCTAAAGGCTATTTACAAAACCTTTTAAAATACTGCATCCACCAGCTAGAGTCTCACGTTATCCCTGCCTTTCTGTGGAAAATCTACAGTCCTTCCTACCAAGAAGTGTTATTTACTTTTTATTTTATGCCACCAAGGCATTTTATTTACTCATATAATTTGAAACTTCACTATATTGAAACAAACCAAACCAAACAAATGAAACACCAAGAAACTCCCTCTTATGTGTCTGTATATCAGAATGCACTAGATTTGACAAAACTCTAGTGGCTCTATTCTCCCTAAGGCCTGCACCCACAGTCTTTGCTGCAAGTTGATCCCTTCCACATCTGCCCAACATGTGAGCTGTGCAAAGAATCAGTGTTTATCCTCGTAACTGAGGGTTTCACCAGTCTTAGATAAATCAGAGTTGCTGCTTATGCAGCTACTTTATGACTGCAAAATATTTTTGAGCAGATGGGTTCTGATCGTAGGGGTTTTCTGCTGGTATTTTTTATTTAATTTCATTCAATAAAGCAAGCAAATCTACTAATAAGCTGTGGTTTTAATAACACATGATAGACAAAGGAAGGCTTGTGTTATAGCTCTGCTATTTCCACTGTTAATAACCCAGGTTTCCTAACCACATTGCTTGGATGTCTTCACAAATAGTCAATTAAGTACTAAACAGTGCTGCAATTTCAAATTACTCAGCTATATAGTTGTATCTCTTTATTTCACATTTGCTTTCTGTGATTCACATGTAGTGAATGTGGTGATTTTGACTGAAGACAAATGGCTCGTAGGCACCTAACTACTGAAGAAAATAATTGTGAAAAATTATTCCCAGTGGTTTTGATTCCTCTTTTTTTTTTTTTTTTTTTTTTTTTTTTTTTTTTTTTGTTTTCTTCTTTAATAAGCCAAAATATATATGCTGGATAAAATCCAAAAAAAAGTTATTTGTAGGAAGGTATGTCTAGTTGACAGAATCCCTAACTACTGTGTTTGAATTTGCTCTAATAATGCCTCCATATTTAGCTGGAATTTCTCACTTTGAAAATTACTGATGTGTATAAATATATGATGAAGCAAATGTACTTGTTTGCGTATTTTCAGTTGGATATGGTAGACTTTTATATCTTCCTTTTCCTAAAAAAGAAGTTGCACAGTTTGATGTTTTTTCTCCTTGATTTAGGCATTAAGTGGGTTTATGTTAAAATTTGTAGAGTACCTTAGAGCCTTGTGCAGTGAAAACTTCATGCATAGCCATCTTTTATAATGTCAGTTTTCAAATTATCATTAATGTTAGTATTTTACAGAGTTTCTTTTAAAATGTTGAATCTAAACTGTGTGTGTGATGTTAGGAGATCATTCCTGGGTTGATTTGGCTTATCATCTAAACAAAAAGACAAAGGATGAGATAATGGATGTAACCGTGTTCTCATTTTACAGTAAGGAGCTCTTGTACAAAGCAATTGAAGAAACTTGGTCTTGTAAGAGTTAGTGCTAGTCAACTCCACACAGATCCCACTGTCCAATACCTTATCCAGAAGGCCATTCAGGAATTCACACAAACACCAGATTTAAGTCCTTACAGATGTTTAACTGCAATGTAAGCAGGTGGTAAATGCCCTTACTGAACTGCAGCCTCTACAAATATCAGGGTCTCTGTTCTTTCTCTAAGACACTTGTTTTGAGATGGCAGTCTGTTTGTGATAATTTTTGGGGGGTTATTTCTAAGTCAAACCATTTACCAGAAGCATTTCCAACATCATAGTTCTTCAGCACTGACAATTAAGAGATTCAGAGTAGATCTTTGCAATAGTCTGCTCATTACTATTGTATTTTTTAAAAAGTGAATGCCTCTTAAACAAGTTGGTTTTTTTGATAGGTGCCAAAAAGAATATCCTAATTTGGAATTTAAAAAAGTACTTGTGTGCAAGGACAAACAAAGAAGATTGCATATTGTCATATGACAGGTGTTTTTCTGAAACTTTGGGTGCTGCAGGCAGGAAAAAAGCAGTGTTATTGGTTTTGCTCTTGAGAAAAATGCCAAAGTTTTAGGAGAGACTGAGAAACTTTCTAGTAGTTAATGCCTGGATTAGTGTGGTGTCAGAACAGTGTGGTTCTCCTGAGTGTCATAAGCTCATTTCAAAGTCAGTTTTTGAAATGAAATAGAGGGTATATTAAACAGCTGTACATAGCAAATATAATATAGGTTATTTTGTGGAGATTTTTTTTCTCACACTACAGGTTCAGTTTCTGGGGATGGGGGAAAAAGGGATTAGCTGATATGGTGAAGCTGTGTTTCTTATGCCTTGGTACAACAAATTAAATGTGCAACTAAGGGAATTTTTCCCAGATACTAGCTCTGCTTCAGTATTAGAACACTAAGCTGTATTGGGTTTAATTCATACAACAACAAATAACAGAAAAATTTATTCTGCTTATGTTTCTGGAGAGAGAATAAATGGTACAGTCCAAGTGATCTACTTTTGCCTATATAACACTTTGGTATCCATTTTTAAGCTAGTTCTGTATGCACCCTTTTTAGCAGCCAGACAGAAATAAGAAATCAAGACTATCTTCTGAGGAAGTAAACTGACTGACTGGAAATATTTCTCTTTATCACTGTTCCCAGTCAAGAGACTCAGCTAATCTGACTTAAGACTAGACACCAATTTTTAGAGCACAGTGGTAAGATGAAGATAATTATAGTCTGAGGGATTAACAGTTAAATGTTCTAAATTTAATAAGCTTGCACAAATAACACAGAACAAGTCTAGATGTTTAGTCTTTTATTTTAATACATTACACATGCATCACATATGTTCAGTTTCCTGTAGAAAATTGACTTATAAAGTGATCTAATGCACACAATGGTGTTTTCCTGAAAATTCAGAATCCTGGCTATGTAGAAATGCTTCTTCTTGACTGCTGGTTATTTAAATCATCTGATCAGTTAAAATTGTTTACTGGGTTGTTTGCCTTCCTGATTCAGAGCTTGGAAATGGCTGTTCTTTTCATGAATGCTTTGTTGGTTTACTCTACATTACATATGTGAAAGTAACTGCAAGCATTATAATGAATCTTGCTAAGGCATTACCATGCACAGGACCATACCCAAATGCTCTGATTCTCATATTTATATTCGTTGAGGGCTTACTCAACTTCATTTGTTCAGTACTTGCATGTGTGAATATTTTTTCATTATTTTAATTTTATTTATTTTTTTTATTTGGCTTCTCTGCAAGTTGGGAAGTCTTCCACCAGAGTTGAAGTAAATACCACAATAGCTGCCTACAAAGTAAAAGTGAAAACATAGTTTCTGAATTTACAAATACTTATGTGTGTGGTTATTTCAGTATGACACAGCTTCATAATGACAAACTATTTCCTTTTGTAGGGAAATAAAGTTCCAGACTATTCTATGACTTCACTGTGAATCAGGATATAAAGGAAGTGGAGAAAGGACTAAACTAAAGTATATTAGATGTTTAGTAACTTTGAGAATTAATATCCATCAGTGCTTTTTATAACCCCAAGTTTATCCATGTAACAAGAAGTAGAGCTCCCCTTCCTACTTTACATGTTTCATAGATGTAGTTTACCACATAACACTTTCTCCGTCAATCATTATCAGCACTAAATTTATGATTTGACTTTTATGTACAAAAAACCTGATCTACCTTTTATTTGCTCATAGGACCTCTGATGGTTTTATTCATTAAAAAATAATCCCAGAATTTTGTACAGTTCAACCAATACATGAATTTAGAAGGTTTGCCTATCCTCTAAAGGGTTGTTTTTCTCTTGAAAAAAATTGCTATTTTTTGCATATCTTCTAATTTTATTTTTTTTAAAGGTCTGGGTTAACTGTAGAAAGTATCTTCCAGAACTGGCTGGATTCTTCTGGAATACCAAAGGTAAATATAAAATAACAGGTCACAGTTCTTTCTGAAGTCTTATATATAATGATTTTCTCATTATATCATTTATTTTTTAAATCACTACCTGATCTTATAACAGGTATGATATTAAATAAACAGTTTTGATGATGACTGTTTCCACATCTTTGTATGGCTTTAGCTTTTACCAGTTGCAGGCTTTTTCTTCTTTTTCTTCTTTTTCTTTTTGGCAGGTTTCAACAAACCTGCCAAAGGGCAAATCTTACAAAATTTATCCTGTAAATTAAGATTGTAGTCATATGATAAATATACTTTACAGTATAATGATGGAGCCTACTAAATGCAAGGTCCATTGTTCACAGTTGTTGGAATATGAATGACTTGAAAGCATTACTGACAGCAGTAATTGAATGTTAAATTATTTGTACTTTGATAACTTGTGTATTTTGTAACTTGCTTATAAATCTCCTGTATAGATAACATCTATTATTGGTGTTCCAGCATTGAGACTAAGCTTTGTTTTCTGCTTTTAATGCTAAGAGGTTTTTTAATATTTTAAGTTCTGTGAACTGAAAATGCTTAGTTGCATCTCTGCTATGTGAAAGTGTCTGATTATTCATTTTGGACTAAAACTGGGATAAGATAAAAAGTGGTATCTGTACATTAATCTTCATAAAACCCAATTTTTTACAAAGTAATTTTTAGCATACTCTCAGGACTCGGTTTCTAACTGATTTCCCCTAAGCAGGCACCCCCTGGGATGCTTGTGATTTATCCTGCCTAGTACTCGAATTTGTTTCCACTTGCATTAGTATTAAAAAAAACCAAAAAAAACCAAAAAAACCAACCGCAATTTTTTAAAGTTAGAATGTTAAGTTCTGGTTTCCATGTGCAAAAGTGCAGATACTTAGGCAGCACGACTGAGTGAGCATGTTTGCAGGTGGAATGGACAAAACTGGAGAGCTCTGACAGTGCTCAGTGAACCTGATCTGTACCCAGACACTGTAGTTGAGCTCTTCCCTTGACAGCTTGAGAGATGTGCGTGTCCACTGATCCCTGTATGCTGTAGAAGGCTTTTGGGAAAGATGTACTCTGAGATCAACATGCTTTGAGACCATTTGAATATGCTGTAAAATCAAGGCAGAGTTTTTTTTTTGTTGTAAAGTTACTGAAAATAAAGTTAACTTTAATTAGAAGGGAGGAAAGGAAGAGTATCATCATGCATCTTGATGCTCAGTCATTTCCTAGAAGAGGACCTTGATTTTAATTCTATGTTCAACCAAGGTTTTATTTTTGGTGAAAAAATGGCACACATTGTCAAACAGCTGATTCAAGCATATGGAAGAGATTGATGTTGCATAGCTGTACGTGTAAGAGGCTGAACTGGCTCCTGAAATGTAAGAGTTTTCTTGCATTTTATCTACACATATCTTTTTGAGGATGTGCTTTAATAATGTCTGGCAATCAACTTAAAATCACAAACTAGGAAGATAGGAGCAGATTAAAGAATTGTAAATGGTTTTGACTAATGTGCAAACCAAACTCTGTTTTCCTGAGTAGCACAAGTTGCTCAGAATGAATAGTAAGTAGTTTCATTATACCCTGCAATTATCTGTTGCTTGTGTAAACAAGGCATGTATCAAAAATATTTCCAAATCCAGCAAGTGTGTAAGTTGTTTTAAATTTTCTTTAAAGACTTCAGAGATATCCTTGGTAATTTGGCTGTTTTGTATAAAAAATGTCAACACAAATTTTGCTGATTTTGTATTCTACTTCTGAGCAGCAGCCCACTGATGCTGACCTCTTCTGTCTCTCTCTCTCTCTCTCTCTCTCTCTCTCTCTCGGCCCCCCGCCCCCCCCAATAATATTGTTGATAATAAAATGGCAAATGTTTTGGGTTGAAAGGGACATTAAAGATCATCTAGTTCCAATCCCCATGCAGTGGACAAGGACATCCACTAGACCAGGTTGCTCAGAGCCCCATCCAACCTGGCCTCGAACACTTCCAGGGATGGAGCATACACAGCTTTTCTGGGAAATCTGTTCCAGTGCCTCACCACCTCACCACTCTCATAGTAAAAAACTTCCTCCTCACCTCTGATCTAAAACTGCAGTCTCAGTTTGAATCCATTCCCCCTTGTCCGTCACTACATACTCTGTAAAATGCATTTTTCCATTTTTCTTGTAGGCTCCTTTCACATACTGGAAGGCTGAAATTAGGTCACCCTTTCTCTTTTCCAGGCTGGACAAACCCAGCTCTCTCAGCCTTTCTTCACAGGAAAGGTGCTCCATCCCTCTAATAATCTTGGTGATCCTCCACTGGACTCACTCCACAGGTCCACGTCCTCCCTATGCTGGGACCCCAGAGCTGGATGCAGGTTCCAGGTGGGCTCTCCCCAGAGCAGAGCAGAGCAGAGCAGAGGGGCAGAATCCCCTCCCTGCCCTGCTGCCCACGCTGCTCTGGATGCAGCCCAGGACACGTTTGGCTCTCTGGGCTGGGAGTGCCCATGGCTGGCTCATGTCCAGCCTCTCACCCATCAGCACCCCCAAGCCCTTCTGGGCAGGGCTGCTCTCCATCTGTTCATCTGTTCATCCCCAGCCTGTGCTGGTACTGCTGGTACTGGGGGTTGCCCCGACCCATGTGCAGCACCTAGAACTTGGTCTTGCAAAACCTCAGGAGATTCACATGGGCCCAGTTCTTGAGCTTATCCAGGTCCCTCTGGATGGCATCCCGTCCTTCAGGTGTGTCAACAGCACCACTCAGTTTGGCATCATCCACAAATTTGCAGGTCTGCACTTGATCCTTGTGTCTGTGTCATTAATGATGATATTAAATAACACAGGTCCTAATACTGACCCCTGAGGGACCCCACTTGTCACTGATCCCCATTCAGACTCTGAGCCATTGACCACTACCCTCTGGATGCAACTGGCCAATCACTTTCATATCCATCTAATAGTCCACCCATTGATTTTTTTCCCTCTCCAATTTAGACAGAAGGATATTGTGTCAAAGGCTTTACAGAAGTACAGATAAATTATATCTGTGACCTTCACCTTGTCCACTGGTGGAACCAGAGAAGGCCACTGAGTTGGTCAGGCAGGACTTGCCCTTGGTGAGGTCCTGCTGGGTGTCTCAAATCATCTCCCTGTCCCCCATGATCTTCCCAGTCACAGAGATGAAGCTGACAAGTCAGTAGTTCCTAGGATCCTCTTTTTTGCCCTTTATAAGATGATTTATACTTGTTGTCTTCATCACTTGCCAGGTTCTTATGGGAACCAACTTCCATTTTATTGGAAGAACTGGAGTTGTCATTCAGTGAATAGGAAACCTTATTTCCTTTTTGCTTTATTAAATCATTAGAGGAGCCTTTAATCCTGAAATCCAGACTGTAGAGGTTGCTTAGTAGCTCTCAATATGTTAGTAGCTATAGTGTAAGTATGACTATAATTACTGATTACAGAACTGTAAATATTGTAGATCGACCTGTGTGGTTTACAGGACCTTTAAAAGTATTTAGATTATTTCAGCAAACTAATACCCTGGATTATTTGATGAATCTATATGAAGGCACATAAGAACACAACTTACATGCAGATGAATTACATTATAAATTACATGCACATGAACTACAGATGATTAGCATTCTAAATAGCAGTCCAGAAACAGCACAGAATTTAATCTCTCTCACATGGTTTAGGTGAGTGGACTAGGGTGTGTTCACAGGAAGGTTTTTGTCAGCTCCTTTGGGCACAGTCATGCGACAGGGGTACCCACTAAAACTGACTACCTTCTTTCAGTACTGAAGGAATGAAAAGCAGCTGTTGGATATCTGCTTCAAAGATGTCCCAAAGGCATAGAAGCAGCATCCTACAACCTACACACAAGATTCAACACCTTTCTGCTTATAACCCTTGTCATACTGGTTCTGGAGTCCTAGAGCACAACACTCTTAATACTGCAGCCCCTACTATGAGAAATTACATGACTTTTAAAATTACAAATACTAACACTTTACTGCATTTGCAGAGGAAACCTCCTTACTGGAAAGACTATACTTTGTAATGAAATTGGGAAATGTGCATCATGCTGTACTTAAGTCCCAACATGGTTGCTTTATATCCCTCTCATACAAAAATTTTTGTATTTTATACTTGCTGTGGTGTTTCTGTGGTTTTATTTCCATGCTTTGGTGGATTTTGGACAGGAAATTCATGTTTTCCACTGAGTATAAAGAAAATTCACTTCAAGTGGTTCATTTATAGCAGTAGCTATCAAGGTGATGTCAATAATTCTCTTCTGTGTTTATATTTAAATCTATCCCCTGTATGCAACTGGTACTCTTTAAAATTCAGTAACCAAACGGTCACTTATAAACAGAGTTCTTAGCCCACCCCTTAGTTCACTATCTTCACAACAGTGTCTAGCTTAGGGACACTGTAAGGGTACAAAAAGGTATGCAAAAGGTATGCACAAGGGTAAATACTTTACACTCCCCAGACTGCTGAAGCAATTTCACCATCTTCCTTGCAGTACAGGAATCTTATATTCTTTACATTTTGTATTCTTTACAGTCATAAGTCATGCCATCTGTCTAACTGAAGATCCTCTACTCCTTTACTTGTGCTTTGTTACATTTGCCATTCCAAACTCTCTCTCCAACTCTGTCCAGGGAACTGCAGATTTATAGATATAGATGATATAGATATACACATATGCTCCTTTATACTTGCAGCTTAAAATTACTGAAACTTTAATATTTGTCAGTTTCTAATACTGTTTCACTCTTGGAAAAGTTATCTCGTCTTTTCTAAATACTGGGCTAGTTTCCAGGCTCAGGTATATAAACCAGCAGAAATCAAGAATAAATTGATGTAAGGGGGTCATATGAATAAATAAAATCAGAATTTGGCTTGCTGCCATGAAAAAGTAATTGTGCATACTACCTAACATTTTCAATTTGTTATTTTCTAAAGCATTAAAGATTAATGTTATGAAAAAGAAAGTGTGGTTATAA